ACTGTCGGATGATTCAAACATAGCAGTACGTATAAATTTATTTCGTTGAATCTTTGGTCAAAAAGATAATTTTTATGCACATTCAAAAAACCACAGTACAATAGTACAGCTCTTTATTTTATGTGGTGTTTTAGGCTTTTTGTATGCATTTGTATTAGATAAGCAAATATTTCTAAAAATAAATATTGCCAAGAAACTGAGCATGGTCGACTACCCATAGCGCATCCGTCTGTAAGGAGCCAGTAGTTACCGGATGTCAGTCCTGGGACTAGTAGGAAATCTGATACAACGCCCGAACCGTGGAAAATCGAGGTCTCACTTTACTCCCATTTTGAAGAAGACATCCCGGGCTATCAGCCCATAAGAAAAAAGCAATGCAATCCTATTGGAAAATGTTTACAGATGGCATAGTTTTCTAAAGATCTCCCAGGAAACCTGTTTCAAAAAACTGTTATGAAAACATGTCCCCAAGTCTCCTTTTTCGAATGGCGAAAATCAGAGTTCTCTAGCTCTTTTCGATCAAATGATATTCAAAACGCAACCAAGTGCAAGATGTTTTGACGCCAATCATAGAAAAATGTTTTTCAAATGTGGAAAACAAAGTAATGGTAGTTTGCTAACCCGTGTTATGTGATACTCCTAGGTACACACTATCAATATATGATAAGAAAAAACCTAGGTGTTTGCCTTTTGTTTGGGTCAAATTTTTTCACAAAAACGGTACTATTTTTATCAGAATCACTCAGGTATATAAAATTACATAAAATGTCTCGTGTCCCAGAGAATGGCAACCATGTCTTTCAAAGAGTGAGAAGGTACACCACTTTCAATTCTCAAAAAACGGTTTTTTGAACGGATACAAATACCATTAACAGTAACTCATCGCATTCAGCTATTGGATCGCTATTATAACAGGCGATGGAAGAATTTTGATAAACGGGCGCAGAACCGTGTTAGTTTCGAGCAGATAGACATAAAACTAACAGAAAGAAAACGCATAATCAAATTAAAAAGTTTGATTTATAATCAGTTATCATTCTTCAGGGAAATAGTCTTGATGATTGCTTTGCATATGGTAAATTATCCAAAGATGCAAGACCTTGCGAAAGGGATGGTAGTAGGACTAAAAACTGTCAGTTTTAGCCTTCAGTTTTATATTGAGTTAGGAATTTTGTTAGTCTTCTACAACAACAAAAAGATCGATGCCTGAGAAACCAGTTATTAGTACCATCTTAACGAAAAGGTAGACAGCATATCAATCTGGATGCTGTCGTTTGGCTGCTGCTGAATGGTTAAAACTAATTTCATCCTTTTTGCTACCGTTGATGATTAGTATATTTACAATTGTTACAACGATTTAGCAAAATAAAGCAAATGATAAAAATCGTCTTAACGAAGTAGACATAACTGCACGTAAACATGAACAACTCCATGAAGTGCAGTAAGATGCTATTTATGCTGATTGTATTAAAGACATGTCAGAATTATTTATGAATAAAAGAGGAAAAACATCCATCATAGGTGATGAATAATCAGCACGTCCTAAACGCGATATACAAAACGTAAACAATTTTAATCCTTTTTATATATGAGGCTAAATTATTATACAGACGTCCAAATCCAATTGATTTAAGTGGTACTGATGTAATATTAACACGTTATGAAAGTTCAATAGATTCACCACATTTATTAAGTTATTTAACATTACGTAGTGTTAATTTAATTAATACATCATTTTTAAATACAAATATTGAAGAAGCTGATTTTAGTGGTTCACCACTTCATTTCATTTCATTTTTATTTAGCTTAAATCTAACCAGGGAAACAGGAAAAGCTCCCGGCTTGTAAATACTGCTCCCCAAAATCGTTCCAAATATGAACGCACAAAAAACAGACAAGGTACAGTAAAGAGCAAGTAAGTTAGAAGAACCGTTTTAAACATCCAATAGAACAATAAACATTTACATTTAGTAACAGCGATGAGCGCGTAGGCGAGCTTTAAAGACTGATAAATAAACAGCAATAGCATTAGAAGTGTTAGCAGGATCAGGATTGCTAATGACATGCTGCGGAAGTTTGTTCCACTCGTTCGCTGTTAGATAGAAGAATGATTCCTGTACACTTTTCATTGATGTGAAAGGAATAAGCACTGGGAAAGGATTTTGGTTTAGACGAAGACTGACTCTTGTATCAAGCATAGAAATGATACAAAAATTAGATAGAGGAGAGATGTCGAATCACATTTTATAAAAGTGTAGAAGACGAAAGTAGCGTCTACGGGAGACAACGTCTGGCAACTTTAGTTTACGAAGAAGGTCATTACCGTTAGAATGAAAGTCACACAAAATCATCCGTGCTACTAGCCTGTGCGTAGAAGCTAGCATAGAATAGAAAGACGTAAACAAACTGTCGTAAACAATTGATCCATAGTCTATAGCACTCAAGATGTACGCCCGATAGATTTGCAGCTTAATTTCCGCTGGAGCATTTCTGAATATTCTATTCATCGCACATAGGCGACGTCTAAGCGAAATAAGTCGTCTGTCTACATGAACATCCCAGCGAAGATTCGATGAAATAGTCACACCTAGTAAACACAGACTTTTAGAAAATGTTGAACAGATGTGATAAAAAACTCATATTTATATTGCAGCTACTAGACATAGCAGTCTTACTCTGGTGCAAGACCAGAGCCAATCTTAAAACGAGAATTTCATGACTAATGATTCACAATCTTGAGTATTACTTGTTGACGGCAAAATGGATACTTTTCTGCTATTGATGCGTTCACATTTTCGCTGCTAATCGTTAGTATTGACGAACTGATTTCATTATTTATTTTTCGTTGTGTAGTTGTGACCGTTGCTCGACTTGATTATGATGGTGCAATATTTTCCATCAAAATTGCAAAAAAGTATACACCGAGTATGGGTCTGTTTCGTTTTCCCACAATATTTTTAAATAAAATTGCATTTGTTGATGAATCAGAGTGCCGTATGCGATTTGTGATTGAAGTGTTTCTTTCACGTTTTCTTTCGTTTCAATTTCACTAAAAGAAACTAGAACATACGTCGATAGACAATGTACGAAAAACATAGATAAATGATGTTACCATTGTGAAAATGATTCTGCAATTTCTTTGTCGCTGTCTTCATTCGGCACTGGACAGGAAAATTCACTGGTATCTCCATGGAATTCTCTAGTTTTTTCCATACAGAGTACTTTTAGCAAGGGGAAAACAGCGGTTCAAATATCAAAAAAATACGGCACACATACTACTCACATACCCAAATATCGATTGAATTTGTGTTTAAAAGATAGACATAACTAACATGTGCATTTTATTCAGTTTTTTACGCTCTTTCCACTGAAGCGCAGTCACCCTAGAGATCGCTTCTTATATAAGAATCTTACCAGAAACCTATAAGTCTCTTATCAGTATCTTATAAAATTCTTATAAGAATCTTATCAGGTTCTTATATAAGATTGTTTAAGATTTTCCATCGA